TACTCCAGGATATTTTACACTGAAGATTCATAGTTCAACTGTAGGATGGGAATACAAATACGAATGAGACTTCTGCTGGGACTGAATTTTCTTAATCTTTGCCTGTTTTCTTAATCTTTGCCTTAATCATTGCCTTCTATGAAAATGAAGGCACAAAGAAATTTGCTCAGTGAGAAATAATGTGTTTATATTACAAGATGTTATTAATAACAGGACAAAGATAACATCTCTGGAGTCTCTTACTTCACAATGCTACATTTAATTGGTTTCAGCATCTTCAAATAAAGAGTGCAGCGATTGCAAAAACAAAATTACAAAAGCAAGGGAATGTTGAGAAGGTTGACCAAATCTGAAAACCTTTTAACCCATAATACTGATCATTTATTAGGCATGATTTATAAATTATGAGTGAAGTATCTGAACCAGTCAAATACTGTATGATTAAATGGCTGCAGAATATGGTGCACCAGTGGGAATTTCAATGTAAGAATATCATACTTATTTTGAATACTCTACTTGGAGAGAATTGGCATAAGATGCTTGAGCAATCCAGTACTATTTGCTAAAAGGAATCATTCTTTTTCTAAAAAATGTTGGGAATGTAACAAGCAGAGTGGATCCTTCTTTCATATATATTCACAAGGCTGTAAAGCCCAACAATATTGGAAAATGATTCACTGTACAATGGACCAAATTTTGAAAAATGCAATCCCGCTGCAACCTGAGATATTTTTATTAAATTTTACTAAACCATATATCCCTTCAAAATATACTGAATTGGCACTCTTTTATACATCTTTTCTTGGAAAAGATTTTTGATTCCCTCTTTGGAAGAATGGCTAACTAAATTGTGAGAGCCTGCTTTAATATCTAGAATAACTTTGTACATAAAAAGTAAATGAGACATATTAATTCGATTTTAATTGAAAACCCTTCTTGGGCTCCAATTTTCTACATGGAATTGTGCCACATCCAAGATTTGGGTTTCAGAATCCATATTTTAGCATGATGTACAATTTATAGTATTGGTGGAATGTATTATATGTACCTATAGTTTTCTTTCAACAATTTGAATAATGCTAACAATGCATTTTTAGCTTAAACCTTAGCAGAGACAAATGGATTTTGACTAGAAAATGGACATGAAATATCTCATAATGCAATAAGCTTCTAATGATGTACTGAAATATATTTGTTTTATGATATTTCAGAACTGTTGCTTATCTGCCCTATTTCTTGTACCTGATTTTCTTGCCTATAGTACCCATTTCTTATATTCCTTCAAAATATGTAACAAATGAAAAAAAATATTTAATGAACATCAAAACTATAAGATGTTGGCTCAATGGGTTTTGATGTTTGATAAATAACAATCATTTTTAACTACAATCAATACAAATTTGCAAAATTGGAATTACCAATTTAAATTATAAGGTAGCTTCTAGCTTTGTATCCTAAGCAATCTAGTTCACTCATTACGTTATGGGTGTACTAAATTTGCAAAATCGGAATCAAGAATTTAAATTATAAGAGCAGCTTGTAGCTTTGTATCCTAAGCAATTTAGTTCACCCATTATGTTATGGGGATACTGACACACCTTGCCAGCTTAGATAAAGCCCTGACATCAACTGTCAGGAGTATAGGTGATGAACAACACAGAAATCTGGATTCTTTAATTTGTATGAGAAGCAGGGACAAGTTTCAAGGGAAACACCTCTTCCTGACACCAATGCATATTTAAATATTGCACCTTCCAAAGGGTGGCATCACTGAAGTACTATTAGGTAAACATGCTGCAAACAGAAACTGTGTGTGCTATAATCAACATTTCTGCAACAGCTACAAGACAAAGTGGTAAGCAGTTGCTCTACATAAATATGATATTGCTCTGTGCACGAAATGAAAGAAGTTTCTTGCTCCATGCACTGAAGAAAGACCTACCACCTATGAAGTTCAGCCAGGATATTTGAGGCAGGTCATTTAACTTGATCCTGGTTGATAGGCATCTTGAAGTATAAATAGGACATATGGTTGGTGCATCTGTCAGCCCCACCAGGTAGACCAGACCAGGAAATCAACTCTACAAGAAGGCTAAAACTATCTTTACTGAGATTGTCTATAATAACAGAATCTTGCAAGTCTAATTGTGCTGGACCTCCTCCCTCTTTTTATATTCCAGTGAATCAGGGCAGCGTCTGCCTGAGCCATTTCCAAATGTTACTTTGCTTCTCTGGACTTAAAAAAAATATATTTCATCCCTTTGTCTAGGTAACAGTTCTTGCATACTTCCATCAAGGTCATCTTCCTCATTGTCCATAGAACCTCACCCCTCTTTCCCCTCTTCTCTACATAGCTTATGCACCAACATAACTTCCCCTGGTCACTGCCATGCCTGACTTCAAGCATGGCATGCCTGCCCAGCCTATCTAGCCCTCTCCCCCAACTTTCCCATGTCTTCTTAATGTTGTCCCACAGATCCATACCCACCCATCCCTCCCTATCTCTCTGCAGTCATCATGACCCTTCCTTCCCCACCACCACTCCCATGCACCTCTCTGAGGAAACCATCCTACTTCTCCACAGTTGCAGGCTACTGACTTCATTTTTCCTCACTGCCCCCCACCCCAAATAGCTCTGGAGTTCTTCAGATCCATGAACAGGCCGAACTTTCGATTCATGCACTGATCACCCAATCCTGCCTGTGGCAAACATTTTGCAGTTCCCTACATATGAAGAAAGACCTATGAATGATAACCTCCAAATTATATTCAGATATAACCATTCAAGAATGGTTATTAAGACCCCTAAGCTAAGAGATATAGCCTTGTAACCCTTCACTTCTAAATGACTGAAAACAGACTATGAAACCTCTTCAAAATATCAAAAAGTTATATGTGTTATCTAAAAAAAATTAGTGGCATCAAGAATGGATGAACACAACATTTAATTGAAATACCTTTCTGGAAGGAGATAGATCAATAGGGATGACCATACTGAATGCATAATGTGGTTTTTCAGATTCCCATGGTATATCATTGATGTACTATGTCAATTTCCCATTTTAATTAACACCTTCCAAGCCCATCTACTAAATTTCATTCATAAATAAATAAATAAAGTATGTCAATTTCCCATTTTAATTAACACCTTCCAAGCCCATCTACTAAATTTCATTCATAAATAAATAAATAAAGTATGTCAATTTCCCATTTTAATTAACACCTTCCAAGCCCATCTACTAAATTTCATTCATAAATAAATAAATAAAGTCAAGCCAGCCAAATGATGGCATTTAGATTGGCTCATCCAAGGGACTTAGTCTACCCACCACAAGGCTTTGTCATCACCTCCAAAATGCCCTGAATTACTTAGTGACCCACACGTTATAATTTTTTTCTTCTACGATTACATGAAACATCAACAAACTGTTTAATGCATGTTCTGTTTTCAAATCATCTTTCCCTTCTTGGCTTACTAATTTCCTTTCATAAATATCTTACATCAGTTTGGATCTGAAGTTTTGATTGAGGATCTCTGGCAAGTTCAAGGGAAACTCCTTTTCCTATCTGCATAATTACCTGGATTCACCCAACTTACTAAGACTGAAATAAGGACAGCGGCTGGAGGGTTCTTGCATTGCCATTTCTCCTTGCAAGATTATAATCCTGTATTTAATAAAACATCTAAGGTGCAGCATCTCTACACATTCCTCCACAAATGATCCCTTTCCCAGGAGCCGTGAAAAGGCCAAAGAAGGGGAAAAGGGGTCTGTCTAAGAGGGGAGGAAAGCCATCCAGCTCTGCCATTTAGTGGTTAAGATACTGGGCTAGAAACCAGGAGACCGAGAGTTCAAGTCCCACCTTAGGCACAAAGCCAGCTGGGTGACCTTGGGTTGGTCGCTCTCTTTCAGCTCTAGCAAGGAGGCAATGGCAAACCACCTCTGAAATCTTGTCAAGAAAATTGCAAGGACTAGTCCAGGCAATCTCCAGAAGTCAACACTGACTTGAAGACACACATATACACAAAAGAATCATCTCACAGGAAATGTGAGCCATTATAGAAAGGTCTGCTCATACAGCAAGGCACAGAATAATTACCAACAGAAAGA